CATGCAATTGAACGCGGCTACCCAAATACATACAAAAATATTATTTCTTTAGTCTTATTGTATGTTTATGGGAAGCATTTCCTCAGAAATAATGGAGAAAGCTTTCTAAAGTGGGAATAGATAGCCTGTCAACTGCTACAGGAAACATTAGGAGGTTTACATTTTGATATGAGGGTGTTACTAAGCACTGACCGACACTGTGTCCAAATTTTTGCACATGCCACATTTTTTTGTTTTTTTCCCCCAATCTTAAATTAAGCAAAGGAAATATAACCATGCATTAAATTTGCAGAAATGTATCATGTTTGACATTTCTGTTTAAAAAACATTTTGTCAGCTAGAATGCACTGAAGAAAAAAAAAAAAAGTGAGCAAAACATTTAATCTGACTCTCTCTGTTGTCTAACATGCAGATGCACTGCTATATAGATATTCAGTAAGATTTGGCCACGCACACACACGCTTGTTAGTTCCCTGCAAAACTATTTACACCCTTGGGACATTGGATCATTTTACCAAATTAAAAATCCTATGCCAACAATGGTTTTCTGTGGTTTATTCTGTGAAAAATGGCAATAGTTCTGTAAAATACCTTAAATATTTGATGTCAATTATATAAATTAACTCACTGGGTAGTTCAGAGCAGATGAGGCAAACTAGTGAAGACTATAGGAGTGAGCAATCCCTTCATATTAACCTTTAACAGGACAGAGATATTTTAACAAAGTGTAGTTGTGTATGTGTGAAATGTTGGTAATATAGATATTACCCGAGATATGAAGAGGAAATACGTACACACATATTAAAGGAGAGAAAACAATGCAGACACAAGAAAGAAAATGAAGGGTATAACACAGAAGTTAAAAATACAAAGAAATAATATACAGTGAAGCAGAATTGTAAGCAAGCATTTAGGGCAGTGATGAAAACATTGAGCCATTTAAAGAAACATAAATCAGGATAGAGGTATAGAAAAGTGAAAGAGGAAAGAGCGGGGTGCAGCTGCTGGCATTTGGCAATCTTCCAGTTTCAGGTAAAGACATGCACCTCGATTTTTCGCCCCTCAATCACCGTGCTGTGCAATTTCTCCCGGGCCCGGTCAGCATCCGCGCTAGTTTCAAAAGTTACAAAACCAAAACCCTGCGTGCAAAGGGGAGACATACATGCAAATCATTAGAGAAGGGAAGGGGGAAGAACTAAGAGAAGGGCCAGGAAAGGTGAAAAGGGAGCACAAGAGAACATCAGCCGCCAGAGAGCCAGATTTGAGACTTTGGGGTGGGGATGGGGGGGATAGGGAGAAAAAAAATTACACAAAAAACTTCAGATTTGTAAAATTCTTTTTTTTAATTTGGCAACAGTGAAAGGTCAGAAAACACAGAGCACTAATCTGTCATATTGATGCTGCTCAGACACATGCAATGTGAGGGGTAGTGACACCAATTATACCTTCAGGGAAAACAAAAGAAAAATAAACCTAACTGATTATACTGCTAAAGCCAATGTTCTGTTAATGCCACAATGCTGAATGTAAAATTAAATATTTAATCTTGCTTCAATATTTCCAAGTCATAACTGGATGTTGAATGGGTTCAGGTATTTCGTCATGGTGCAGCACAACACTAAATTGGATTCACTCAACCAGCATTGAAAGGGAGCAATACATATAAAAAAAATATGCCATATACCAAACAATCTAAATGTTCTGGCACTATAAATCCCATCATGCTGTGCTTGCTTTGGTTATACATACCGCTTTCAATAACATGATGGCAGTTTGAATGTAGTTATTTTTATAAAAACAGAAGTATGCATATTTTGGGTCATATCGTTTTGCCAGATTTAGAGTTTAGATTGAATTGTTATTATAGTGAGCAAATTTCACAAAATTCTTACATTTATAAAAATTCCACGTTTACTCCCATAACCAAGCTTTTACCAATGTCCGCTTGCCAGGGTAGGACGCATCTTGAATATAGCTTAGATTACCACTGTTACACAAGTTTCCCGAACCAATAATAAAGACAAATTAATTCAAGAAAATGTGATCAGTGCAATATTTATCAATTGATCATCACTGGTTCACAATTAACAGCCACCAACTAGCAGTCTGACTTCTGTTGGGAGATTATTTAAAATATAGAGGGTAGATAAAGCAAATCTGTCAGTTTTGTTGCAAAAAACACCCTGCTGTTCCCTTGTCACCCAATGATGTCTTAGCTTGTTTTAACCCTTACCACCCATGGCTATCTTTCTGATCCCTGCTGCCAGCTCTGAAAAGTTTTCTTGGAAATAACCATACCTGTTATAAACGATTTGCAAACTGCTAGGCAGGCCTCCTGCATTCTATGTAACACTGCTTGGGCTTGGGCCCCTCAAACTTAAATATTTTGGCAGATTAAAGTGGCCCTGAACTGAAAATTTGCTATTTTAAGAAACATAGAAAATTGTAATTGTGTCTAAGCTGAAAACTGGGATCCCTCTTGGGAAAGAAAAAATTGCACTTCCCACTCTGGGATCAGCTGCTTTAGCAGGGGAGATTGAGCTTTTTTTTCTCATTTAGCCATCAGGCCTGAATGAGAAAAAAATCAGTGTATGGCCAGTTCACACCACAAACTTCGCATTCCAGTGCGTTCGGCCTCTGGAACGCACTGGAACGCAAGCCAGCCTGCTCCCTGCGTTCAGGGGCGGGAGGGAGCGTGGCGGTGCATTGAAGTCAAAGCACTATTTTTGCAGATCGCACTGGACAGGAACGCAGGCACTAATGTGCCTATGTTCGGGGTGCTGGCGATCACACTGCGGGCGGGGGGGGGGCGTGGCTGCGGTGCCATTGATTTCAATGCACCACCACACTCCCTCCCGCCCCTTAACGCAGGGAGCCGGCCGCCTTGAGTTCCAGAGGCCTAACGCACTGGAACGTGGAGGTTGTGGTGTGAACCAGCCCTAACAGTCTTTCCAACAGCTGAGCAGAGCAGCAGGGGAGGGAAGGAAAGGGAAGTGTGTGCAGCTGGGGAAAGTGGAAATCAACCTAAACCTGTTGCTTTGCATTGCACGGGTGAGATAACTAATTCACTTTAATAATACTGCCTATTTAAGTCTCCTGTGCATTAATAGTGGCATTGACAGCAGCCCGTTTTTAAAAATGTGACCCTGCAAAAATCCCTAGGGTTTATTCTGGCAAACTGTTCCACATAATGATGACTTAAATATCGCAGTGGACAGGAACACAAAAAAAAACAAAACAAAAACAAGATAACAGGGACAGATTTTTAAAATATCAAAAAGAAGCACACAAGGCAACTATGAAATTAGAGCTTGTGATTTACAGATAACTAGAATATTTCACTGCTCTAAAAGCAGCAAAAACTAAGGTTTTAAACATAGCGTATTTTTCTTCACAAACAGAAATACCAGTTCCCATTTTACAAACCAGTTATATGCTTGTATCCAGCTTAAAACTGTGGCTAAGCATTAAAACAAAATAATTTTTTTGCTGCAAAGAAAACTGAGGAAATGTACAAAGCAATAAAACGGGCAAATAAAAGAAAACAGAATATGAAGTATGAAAATTCCCTGTCTGATAAAGTAAAAATTTACCATGAAACTGTAAATGTTAATTTATAACGGAGAAGGATTTCCGCTTCCTATGGACTGTTCAGAATACAAAATGTTATAAAAAAAAGACACACATAAGAACAAAAAAAAAAAGAAAAAAAAAGAAGAACAATAAACAGTTGGACATTTTTCTTTCAATAGATATCGCAAAAAATGTAATAAAAAAAAAAAACTTTGCTGCCCCTTTGGTGATTTTTACCGTAAAACAGGGTCAGCATTTTCAAATAATAAAGGAGCAACCACTGAGTATTGGTTTTTAAAAGAGCAGAATTTGGGACCACTATATTTATGAGGATGATGGCCTAGATCCTGCACCAGTAAAAACATACAACAATGGCAACTTTTACAACTTCTATTTACGCTGCTTCCCTTAATTTGGATAAAGATGTATTAAAATGTATTCATATTTTTCAGATCACATATATGAGGTTCTAGCTTATTAAAGCGCATCTAGACCCAAACTCAAATGTAATTAATTGCAGGTTAGATGTGATGGCTGAATTAGTTTTCTTTTTTCCCCTTTATTTTTACCCAGCAATCCTGCTAACACACTTCCTGTCCTAGGGTGTCTACACTCACTCACTCTTTTGTATCTATGGAGAAGGAGCTTTGTCACATTAGGCTGCTCCCCTGATATGGACACCAAAGCAGACTTCCGGTATCTATCTCCATTACATGGGGGATTGGGAAATTTGTAGAAAATCATTGTCATTTCAGTTCAGCTCACAGGAAGTGAGGACACTGCATTTCTAGCCAGATCAATAGGGACTTGCTTAAATGTTCCTAGCCTGAGAAATGAAAACAAATACAGGCAACACATCATAAGCAACAACATATTACATTTATGTTCTTCGATTTAGATTTTTTTTAGATATAAAAAAATTACAGTAACCCACAGCAACCAGTCAACATTTAGCTTTTTGAACTAAAATAAGAGTATGGCTTTCATGGATACTACACTTACACTGACAAAGCCAGACTGTCCAAGCCAGACTATTTTATGTACCATAAAATATTAGTATATTTATATGTTCACATTATTTGCGATATCTTTTGAAAATACAATTACGAATTCAATAGTTCTAACAAAAAAATTGTGCTGCTCTGTTGATATGAATGCAACTCTTCCTTGCATAACAGAAATATGAATACGCAGCACAGCTGAATGCAATAACCTTTTATAGTCAAATCAGTGCAGTTTGGGAATTATTCCAAACCAAAACTAAGAGAAGAAATGGATAGAGCTTTACTTTAACCCTACACTGTCAAAGACAAGAAATCTACCCTTGAAGCTGTAGCACTTAGTACCCCCATAGTTGATGTAGTGGTTTACATTTCAAAAGTTATACGGTGTTAATTATTCAACATGACACAAAGCAGAAGCTAAAAGAACCAGTAGTAAGCCAGTTCATCAATTAATCACAAAATGTTATTTTCAGACAGCAAAAGGGCAACAGTGATCAAAATGCTGCTTGATGGAAGCATCACAAAATATATTGTTGGTTAAAGGGTAACAACTGCACAGCTGCTGCATTCATATTTTTAAACCCTCGGTTTGATGGTGAAAACTATACCTAATGACTGTTCCATTCCATGTCTTTCCTACAGACCTTTTTCTACAAAATATAATTGCAAACAAAGAGGTTTAAAAAAAAATTAGGGAAGAAAAAAAAAAATGATGTCAGGTGTGTTTCAGTTTACTCATCAATTGTAACACCAGGGAGTGAGACCAAAAATGTGAATTTCTAGAGCCTGTTTGCCGAGGAAGTGATGTGGCAGACAGACCAGTCAGCAATATTATATTACCCATACTGCTTTAGGAGGGAAATGTAATAAAGCTTTGTCTGTGGAACATTTTGATCAATTCCACATTTTACAGTCTGCTCAATTCCTGCAGAACCTGGAAAGAATCAAACTGCCACGTATTACATTGGCTTGCCTGACATAACTCCAAAAGAGAAAAGGGAACAGGAGCATCAAGTTAAAATTAACTGTATCCATTTTTTTTAACTCCACAGCTGGTTTTAGTTAAGTGTTTTAAAACAAACATACATAAACATAGTGAGTGCTATTGTGGTGTATATAAAGTAAAACTTTGCTCACATTTTTGGACATTATTTGTCTTAAGAGATCAAACTGTTAAGAGTTCTGATGAAAGGTCAAAAATAAAACATGCTTAAAGTGAATAAATACACATTCATGTTTCAAATGTTGAATTCGCAAGTAAAAATGAGTGGCAAAGGATTAGAACCCCTGTCAGGATTGTACTGCTATCCAAGGCAGAGACCAACTTACTTACCGTCAATGATGTAACCAGATAGGAAGTGAGAACATTTCCAAATGCAATACAGACATTAAAAAACAGAGTTTTATTAGGACTTGGCGGGGGAGGGAGGCGGCTAAACCACCAGACCCCCCCCTTCCCCATCAGCACTGTGGATAGCAATATAAACCTGAAGGAGATCTAATCCTTACACACTTTGTTTAATATGTTATTTTTATGGTCAAGATATATATTTTACAAAACA